AGCCGTCATTGTTGTTTGGCGGGCCCGGGCTGGGGATTTGAACCCGCCACCTTAGGTGTATGTGGCTGGCGCCTTAGCCGCTTGAGCCACAGGTGCCGAGCCTAGGCTTGGAATCTTTAGGGACTGCCTTTGGGCTGGGCTCTCAAAGCATTGAGGTTAGTTCAGTGATGATATGAGACATAATTTGAGAAGTTAATATGGTCCAGAACCAGCAAAGAGCAGACCCTTCCTTGTTCCAAAAGACTCTCTTGGTTGAACAGGTAAGATAGGTAGCTAGATCACTATTTACCAAGGCTTGACCTCACCCCAAAATTGATGGACTGGAAAAAAGATGACAATCACATTCCTTTTCACTAAAATGACTCTGAGCCTCTTGACAGTCTGAAGTCAGGTTCCTGTAAGCATGAACCCATGAGCTGACATGGTGTTTGGTCAGTGTATGAGTGTCCTGAGGATGCCATAACAAACTACCATAAACTCAGTAACTTAAATAGCAGAAATTGATTCTCTCACAGTTCTGGAAACCAGAAGTCCAAAATCAAGGTGTCAAAAAATAAATAAAGCTGTCTCTGCATGCTATGTGTGTGGGGGGCACCCTATACCTCTCTCCTACCTTCTGAAGTCTGCTGGCAATCCTTGGTGGATCCTGACTCAAAGGTGTGTTACTCAATCTCCACCTTCTCTTCACATGGCTTTCTTCCTTCTATGTCTGTCTCTGTGTCTAAATTTTCTTCTGCTTGAAAGAACACCAGTCATTGGATCAGGGCTTACCATAACATAGTATGACTCCATTTTAATGCACATCTTAATTATATCTGTAAAGACCTTATTTCCAAATAAGGCCACATTCACAGGTGCCAGTGGTTAGGACTTAAGCATATCCTTCTGGGGGACACAATTCAACTCACAATGGTCACATTAACTGCTAAATTAGATGATTTAGATGACCAGCCTGTGTGCAAGGAGTAACCTGAGCCTTCCTCCATTCTCCTGAGGGGATTCTGAATAGCAGAATGAGTGCCCCAAGCCTTACCTTTAACACAGCACACTGGCCCCTCCTGCTCTGCTGAATGACACTTTCTGTCCTTTCAGTTTCGAAACTGCATCTTGCAGCTTTTTGGGAAGAAAGTTGATGATAGCTCTGAACTCTCCAGCACCTCCAAAACAGAGGTCTCATCTGTATCTTCAGTGTCACCTGCATGAGGTCTGCCTCCTACCTGTCCCACCCACCAGGGATTTGGCCACCTCTCCCTCCCCTTTTTTCCTATTCCTATGAAATAAACGGAATTTCTTTTTGCCAAAACCAACAATCACAGAGGCTTTCACTGCAGTTTGGGGCCACATTAGCCTCTGAGTGTTCAGGCCCTGGGCCTTGGGAGGGTGTGAGGCAGGTAAATAAGAAAGTAGTGCTTCATAGACTTTAATTTTTTCCAAGACTCATGTGTATAGCTGGTATGAAAGGATAGTGGTGAAGTGTAAAGTGGGTGTCTGCACACATCTCACCAGGCTGGTGATCAGAAAATCAGAAAGTGAAAACTGCTAAGTGACTATGGGGGTGAGGACAGAAGGAGGGCAGAACCAGCAAGCTCAGGCCCCTTAAGGTCCATCAAATGGAGGCCTGGAGTCCTTGGAGTATAGTCTCCATATGGAGGGGACCCACTCCTGCCAGTCTGAGGTGAACTTCTGCCACGCCAGGGCCCCGAGCCCAAGCAGCATGAGTGTGGTGCAAGTGCGCAGGCGTGAACTCAGCAGTGGCGTAGGGAAGGCACACACAGCAGAGACAGAGACCAGGAGGAGGGTGACCAGTGTGAGGAGCAGGCTGACGAATCTATACAAAAAATCCTGGGGACGGCTTCTGAGGCTCTCCATCAACTCGAGTTGGGTGACTTGCTGTAGAGTTTCAAGCGTAGACATTCGGCTCCTGAAAGTCTCCATGACCTCCTGTGGGAGACAAAAGCAGACAAGCTCACCAGAAGTCAGAACAGACTGAGGGCCTGGTGGAGATGGGGATAACCCAGGATGGGAGCGGGAGCTCTGGGTATGGAAGAGTGAGGAGAAGGAAGCCAGATTGAAAGGACGGTTCTCAGAGGGTGCCCCCTCCACCAGCAGAAGCAGCCCCACCCCAGATCCCTGAGTCAGAGGCTCAGGGTAGGGGCCCAGCCAATGCCAGCCCTTCCAGGTGGCTCTGATGTGCCCTCAAGGAGCAACACAGTGCTGCAGCTCCAGAAGCAGCTGAGCAGGATGGTGAAAAGAGGAGCAAACATTAACACTGGGTACATAGCTCAAAGATCTGGGTCTTGCATTGGTTTAGGGGTGTCAAAGTGAATGCACTCATCCCTATGTCCTTCTTATGGACTGTTTCTTGAAAGGCTCCCCCATGAGGTTCTCACCCATACTTCCTTGGCTCTCTCATAGGACAGATAGGCCATTTTCTCCTCAGTGCAGGCCAGACTCTGTCTGAGGAAGTAGATCTCATCCAGGTGGCCCTGCAGGTGGTCATTCACTTGCTCTTCCAGCAATGTTTGTCTTAGGAGCAAAAGAGAAAGTCATAGTCCCTCAGCACTGTGCCCAGAGCCCGCACTGATGGGAGAGGCCCCGCATCTAGACTGGACTCGGGTTCCCATTTTGCCTCCTCCTCCCTCCCCAAACTGTAGTCAAAGCTGCCTGCTTGGGACACCCCACATACAGACCTATCACAGACACACCCTGATAGTCACTAGTCACCCATATTTTATATATAGTTACTCTTTTGTAACAGCTTTACAAAAACAGCCACAGACTAGAAGTGTTAGAATGAAAAGTTAAACTCTCTAGGTATGCTATTGAATTTCACAAATATCCCAGGAGCAGTGTTTACCATGCAGTAGTGACTCTATAAAAATTTGTTGATTATAGGGATTGAGCAGTCACAAAAGACAACATAGTATGTGACACCATTTCTTTGAAATGTCCAGAAGAAGCCAGACCACAGACAAAAAAAGCAGATGAGTGGGTGCAGGGCTGAGGGAGGGGCATGGGGAATGACCACTAATGGCAACAGGGCTTCCTTTTGGAGATGATAAAAATGTTGTAGAATTAGATAGTGATGGTGGTTGCACAACTCTGTTAATATATTAAAAACCACTGAATTGTACACTTTAGAAGGGTGGATTTTATGGGATATGAATTATATCTCAATAAAGTTGTTATTGAAACAAAAACAAAAAACTGGATTGTGGTCATAGTTGTATAACTCAGAAATTTTACAAAAAACCGCTGAAATGTCCTTAAAATGGTGCATTTTATGACATGTAAATTATAGCTGTTAAAAAATACAAGCTGTGCATGTAATATATAAGTGGTAAAAGTATAAAGGTGAGCCTGGAACAGCTAAGCTCCCAAATAAGGACAGTGAGGTCAGCAGAAGGGAGATAGCAGTGGGAAGGGGTGATGAGAGAACCTCACCTGACTTTTTTTTTTTTTTTGAGACAGAGTGTCACTTTGTCACCCTCGGTAGAGTGTTGTGGTGTCTTAGCTCACAGCAACCTCATACTCTTGGGTTCAAGTGATTCTCTTGCCTTAGCCTCCCAAGTAGCTGGGACCACAGGTGCCTGCCAAAATGCCTGACTAGTTTTAGAGATGGGGGTCTCCCTCTGGCTTAGACTGGTCTCCAACTCCTAAGCTCAGGCAATCCACCGGCCTTGACCTCCCAGAGTGCTAAGATTATAGGTGTGAGCCACGGCACCCAGCCTTCGACAGCTGCCTTTCAACAGAAACAACGAAAGTCAAAAGGGAGCAATTTTTTCAAAATGATTATTATTTCCAAAAAAATGCCAACCTAGAATTTTGTGCCCAGCAAAAATATCCTTCAGAAATAAAAGGGAATGTATGACATGTATGTGGCAGTAAGGCAACATTGCATATTTAATACAATGGGATTGTTTGTAAAAATTAGGTGTGGTATTTAGGCTATGTCAACAAAACGATCCATATTTCAGGTACACACTGAAATACTTTAACTGATGTCTGTGCTTTGCTTCAACATGATAGGGATGGGAAGAACCAGTTCAGTAAGCCTCTCAGATGTCAAGTTAGGTCTCCTCAGAGATCCAAATGTAAGAAGAGAAACAGCCTCAACCCTCCCCCCACTTATCTGCAAAGGTTACTTAAAGATCTAACTAGTTATCGGACAGTCACATCAACTGGTCCTCCCCTGCTTCCGACACTGTGAAAGCCATCATGACCCTGGGCTGAAGAAAAACAACAGAGGGGACATGTACAAATTAGGAATGTGACAAAGAGTCCTACAGATAGAGATTAGAGAACTGGATAACTGTACAGCTAAAAATAGCAACTTTGGGGAGGGTATAAAAACTCTAGAAAGTTCTGTCAAAGTAAGGCAGGCTTTGAAAATGATCTCCCTGTCTTCCTGAGATCCTGAATCTTGGTAATAAAGGACAACTTTAACCCACACGAGTGTTTGGCTCTTGCTCCTGGTTCCAGCATCCTGGTTACACAGAGATATGGGATGCTGCAACCTGAAAAAAAAGAAGTCTGGGGAGAAATGGAAGTTCTTGTGCCATCTGGTCAACACAACCTGAGCCTAGAAGAGGCCTAAGCACACACCTTGAGAGAACTCAGCTCAGGACTGTATCCCTGGGGCCAAGAACTCTCAGAGTGATAGTGAAGCCTCTGTTAACCACAGTCTTTTATCTCTGAACCTTATCTCAACCTTGATTCAAACCTTTTAGACAAGGTTGAATCATACTAGAACGTTCTTAGGACAGAGGAGTTAGAGTCTGGATGCCCCCAAAGACCTGGTATCCAAAAGGGAAAGACAAGCACAGAGACCTACTTCTGGACACTTTCAGTATATTAAGAATTCATGTACAAGATAAACTATAGGAAAACTTCATGAATGCTCATCTGTGAATATAGCCATGCAAGAATGAGGTTCTTGCCTACTTGGTGCTTGAGCAGTTTCTTTTCATTTAATTTAATTTTTATTGAAGTAAAATTCATATAACATACAATTAATTACTTTAAAGTAAATAATTCAGTGGCATCTAACACATTCATGATATTGTGATTCTAAAACATTTTCATCAACCTCACCCCCCAAAACCGGTGAAGCAGTCACTACACATTCCCTTGGCTCCCAACGCCTGGAAGCCATCAATTTGTTTTCTGACTTGACTGCTTTTATTGCTAAACCTTAACTAGCAATTTATGAATGAGAAATGTAAGAAGACCATGTGGAGATGGTCCTGGAGAAGTTGCTAGAAAATGACAGGGCACCAGAGTAGTAGGGTACTAAGGGCATCATGACACTGGTGGGAGGAGAGGGCAGCAGGAATAAAAAACCCGAGAGGTGGCTCGGCACCTATGGCTCAACCGGCTGAGGCGCCAGCCACGTACACCTAAGGTGGCGGGTTCGGATCCCCAGCCTGGACCCGCC